CTTGTTCCCCCCTCCTGCTGGGGACTTGTTCCCCCCTCCTGCTGGGGACTTGTTCCCCCCCCCTCCTGCTGGGGACTTGTTCCCCCTCCTGCTGGGGACTTGTTCCCCCCCTCCTGCTGGGGACTTGTTCCTCCCCTCCTGCTGGGGACTTGTTCCCCCTCCTGCTGGGGACTTGTCACCCCCTCCTGCTGGGGACTTGTTCCCCACCTCCTGCTGGGGACTTGTTCCCCCTCCTGCTGAGGACTTGTTCCCCCCTCCTGCTGGGGACTTGTTCCCCCTTCCTGCTGGGGACTTGTTCCCCCCCCTGCTGGGGACTTGTCCCCCCCTCCTGCTGTGGACTTGTTTGTAAGCTGCCTCATGGTCGTAAGCCCAAATGCCTCAATTAATGGCGACTGCTTGAAGAGTTTTTCCAACTTCTCCGCTTTATAAGTCAAGGTAAATATCACGGGGTGGACTGCGTGACGTCACGATTCCTTCAGCCAATCACGAGGCCAGAAACTGGGACAAACGGGCTACCCGCGGGCGTCAGCCAATCAGCGAACGAGTTTGTATGCCACCGCGAGTGACGTCATGAACTGCAATCCGTGACGTCATACTCGTGAAAATAACGATCACGTAAATAATACAATAAATTTTCGACTTTAGATAGGAAAAGATTAGTTAAATTTCTCTGTTGTTTAACACATATCAGTTTTCTAGAATACATGATCCTAAAATGAAGTAATAATTGAATGGAAACATACAGTTTCCCCGATGAGTTGACGAGTCTAACTGTAAGATCTACAAGGTCACGCGAGGCGCTGACCAATAGCAGGCCGGGCACCCGCAGTGTCTCGACCAATGAGGAGACAGCGCCGTGAGCGTGAGTATATAAGGCGGGGGATCGGTGACCTCCAGTCCAGTTGCTTCCAGGCAGTCGTCGTGGTGGTTGTGTGCTTTCTTTCAGTTGCCATTCAAATTATGGTGAGTCACTGGATATGGTGCGTAATTAACATTACTAATTATACGATGAGTAATTAATTACCATGACGGTAAGGCTAAACATTGTATTTTTCTGGTACGAATAGCATATAATTTGTAACATTTTACCGTAGGTTAAATAAATCGTTTTATTCAACAGGAAAATAATATTTCCGGTAGGATTAACACTGAATTTTTAATTTTATATATTTAAATCACGAATAAATCTTCCCTTATATCATACATTTCTAACACATTCACTCATGAGTATACATATATATACAATATACAATATATACATTCATTCACATATGGGCGGCGCCCATGTTACGCATTCACCATATGCGTATCATGGATACGCGCCTCACTCAAGGCCACTGTTGCGATGCGTCATTGGTACGTGGGGTACGTGGGGTACGTGGGGTACGTGGGGTACGTGGGGTACGTGGGGTACGTGGGGTACGTGGGGTACGTGGGGCACGTGGGGTACGTGGGGTACATGGGATACGTGGGGTACGTGGGGTACGTGGGGTACGTGGGGTACGTGGGGTACGTGGGGTACGTGGGGTACGTGGGGTACGTGGGGTACGTGGGGTACGTGAGGTACGTGGGGTACGTGGGGTACGTGGGGTGTACGTGAGGCACGTGGGGTACGTGGGGTCCTTGACACATATGGGTACGTGCCCCACCCTGGGCACGTAGACCAGACACTCGTTTTTACCCCAAAAAAAGTTTCCTTGTATGACGAAATTTCCTGAAAATTCCCCTAATGAATCGTGAAAATATGGGGAAGTTTTTTATTTATTCCCCGAATTGATCAACGATACAAAAAATTAACTCTTAATTAATAATAAAGGGACTTTTTTAATATCCAGGATACGAAGAAAATGCCAGGGACATTTTTTTCTGGGGAATTTCTGAGCTTAACCATTTTGGGGATTGCGTTAGAACGAAAATTAAATCTTTATTTTGAATTTACGAAGATATGATATTTAAAGCGGGATGATATGTATATGTATATATGGATAATATACGTGGATTCTAAATAAATAGATGATATACATGGATGCTATAAACATAGATTATATATACGGATAATATATATAGATGATATATAGGCACAGATGAAACGTATGGATGATACAAACGGATGATATATATAGATGATTACAGATGCTATATATACGTAGATAATATATAAGTATGATACGTATGGATAATATATATAGATGACATATACGCATGACATATAGGGATGCTATATATAGCAGCACGCCACATGCCACGCGTCACGCGCCACTTCCTCAGCAGCCACAAAAAGTGGCATTGAGTGAGAGTGGCGAGCGTGCGGGTATCATGGATACCGTAACACGGACGCTGGTATCACGGATACATGTACGGGCGTTGGTATCATAGATACCGCGGTGCAATTAAGCGGGTATCATAGATACCGTGGTACGGGCGCTGGTATCACGGATACCGCAGCACGGGCGATGGTATCATAGATACCGTAAAACGGACGATGGTAGCAAGGATACCGTGGTACGGGAGCTGGTATCACAGATACCGTAGTACGGACGATGGTATCACGGATACCGCGGTACGGGCGCTGGTATCACGAATACCGCGGTACGGGCGCTGGTATCTCAGATACCGCGGTACGGGCGCTGGTATCACGGATACAGTAGCACGGGCGCTGGTATCACGGATACCGCACTTTGCACTCTCGTTTTCTCGATTTTTTTCCTCCGCGTCGTTTGATCTTTTAGGAAAATGGCAAGGACAGACTGCCCTTAATTAGCGCTGCCCTTAGCGCTGCCCTTAATGCTGCCCTTAGCGCTGCCCTTAGCGCTGCCCTTAGTGCTGCCCTTAGTGCTGCCCTTAGCGCTGCCCTTAGCGCTGCCCTTAGTGCTGCCCTTAGTGCTGCCCTTAGCGCTGCCCTTAGCGCTGCCTTTAGTGCTGCCCTTAGTGCTGCCCTTAGCGCTGCCCTTAGCGCTGCCCTTAGCGCTGCCCTTAGTGCTGCCCTTAGCGCTGCCCTTAGCGCTGCCCTTAGCGCTGCCCTTAGCACTGCCCTTAACGCTGCCCTTAGTGCTGCCTTTAGCGCTGCCTTTAGAGCTGCCTTTAGCGCTGCCCTTAGCGCTGCCCTTAAAGTCAAGGTCTCCACCCCTTGATTGTAATTAAAGCACTTATTTTATATTCATAAAAACGATTTTTATCTCAAAAAAAAAAAAAAAAAAAAGAAGCGGGAAGACGTGAGCCTCGTCAGGGCTGTTGGGGTGAAACCCCCACCCCCTTCACCCCTTGGAGCAAGAGAGGGGTGAAGGGGGACGAGGGAAGGCGAGGGGAGACGAGGGGGACGAGGGGAAGGGGTGACGATAATGAATACAAATTCAATAATTTTTTATTTTTCGCCACTCATTTGGCAAGAGCCGATCGAATAATAACTCCATTATATTCTGTAAATTCTAATCACCGCAAGCAATCACATCATTCCTTCAGCATCCAACAATATCAATCAAAAAAGCTCGGAAGCCATCAACACCTGGCCTTCATCAAATTAACGCCATCAAATTCATGAAAAGTCCATCAATAATCATAAAAAAGTTCGCTGTTCGCATCAAAAGTTTATTCGCGACCAAAATAAACAACAAACTTAACAGAACCATTACCTGGAAATCAAAGAACCTCAGTCACTTGGACAATCTTTGTCACTTGGGCAATCTTAAACAGTCGCATTCTTCTAAAGCCACCTGAGCAGATAAAATGACCATAATTCACATCAAACACATTAGACTAATATGAATTACTCATCTCTTGAAGTGAATTAAAATTAACCTCTTAAATCTCTTAATTTTTAAATCTCATTTCTTAAATTAAATTAAACTCTCTTTGAAAATGACAAATAGAAATACCCGATATCTCAACTCAACCACTACCTATATATACCGACAGTCTGCAATTTTTTCACTAGATACATGAAAAATTTCTACCACCAATTTAACAATCACCTTCCCAACACCCCTCGCTGCCCAGTACAACTACCATCCTCAAATCAAGATCAACAATCACTTTCTTCCGTTTGAACATAACTCAAAAATTCTAAGCATAACATTTAACATCATGCCCACCTTCTTCGCCCACCGCAAAACCACAACAAGTACAGAAATAACAACTACATACATTACAACAACAACAATATCACAAAAAACTCAAAATATAACAACTTACAGAAAGCTTCCTCAAGTATAACCCGCGGACAAGACAAGGAAACTCTACTACAAAAATACAAAGAGGAACAGCCGCCCGATAATTGACTACGCCAATCCAATCTGGACTTCTTTTACTTCTTCCATTAACACCACCCGCCTCCAAAAAGTCCAGTATAACAAAACAATAACAGGTTGCTACAAATAGGTTCAGTACAATAACAAGTTGCCAAAAAAAGATTGAAAACAATAACAGGTTGCCACAAAGATGTTGAGAAAAATAACAGGTTGCTACAAAAGGTTGAGAACAGTAACAGGTTTCCACAATACAATTACTGAATAAATTCTTAACTCTGAATGTCAAATGTTTACCGTCCAGCAACACATGGACCTCCTCTCTACCCAATACCTTCTGCGATGCCGCTAACTCGCTGGTAAATCAACCCCGCAACATTAAAGAAACTCCATACTCCAAATTCATCAATGCACTGCAACATTACTCCAGACCAACTTTAACACTGCAGCCCGTGATTTATCACGGGCACGTGATAAGTCACGAAACTTATAATCACTGGAAAACTTATTTTTAACAGTTATATCCAGGGCAACCGAAGGGAACCTACTTTATTGAGAGTTGGTTGCATTGGTTGCTAGAAAAAAGGCACCAACTCTTCGACTGTCAAATATCTCCCAACAATATGGGAGATGAGGGGAGACGAGGGGAGACGAGGGGAGACTAGGGGAGACGAGGGGAGAAGTAAGGAGACGAGGGTAGAAGTAAGGAGACGAGGGGAGACGAGGGGAGAAGTAAGGAGGCGAGGGGAGTGGCAGTTTCCCCACGAGGAAGCAAGCAAAGTTCTGAAGCAAAACAGAAAAAATCAGGAACTGAAATCAAGGCCGGGGCGGCGCTCGCTTTTATTTGCTGAAGTCGAACTCATTAGTGACTTTAAACATGCATAATTAAATATGTTGATTGATTATTTAAATATGTTAATTAATTATTTAAACAGGTTAATTAATTATTTAAATATGTTAAATAATTATTTAAACATGTCAATTAATTATTTAACCATGTTAATAAGCCATTTAAACAACAAACATACCGGTACTTAAACAGGTTAATGAGTTTAAATGTACATATTTAAACATGTTAATGAGCCATTCAAACGTGTGCCCTTAGCTGAGTCAGCTGTGCCCTTAATTTAGTCAGGTGTGCCCTTACTTTAGTCAGGCGTGCCCTTAATTTAGTCAGGCGTGCCCTTACTTTAGTCAGGCGTGCCCTTAATTTAGTCAGGCGTGCCCTTAATTTATTCATGCGTGCCTTTAATTTATTTAGTCAGGCGTGCCCTTAATTTAGTCAGGCGTGCCCTTAATTTAGTCAGGCGTGCCCTTAATTTATTCATGCGTGCCTTTAATTTATTTAGTCAGGCGTGCCCTTAATTTATTTACTCAGGCATGCCCTTAAGTTATTTATTCATGCGTGCCCTTAATTTATTTATTCATGCGTGCCCTTAATTTAGCCAGGCGTGCCCTTAATTTATTCATGCGTGCCCTTAATTTAATTATTCATGCATGCCCTTAATTTAGTCATGCGTGCCCTTTACACTTCAAGCGTGCCCTTATTGCTGCCCTTTGCTCACGCCACGAACGCTAAGAGCTTGGAATTTTTTTCCCTAAGCGGCGGAGCGTGAAGCGGGGGTGAGGGGGGGGGGNTGCGTGTTGATAGAGGGTGAGTTGTGTGTTCGTAGGAGATTAAGACGAGACATGCTAGTTTCGTAGTTAAGCTAGCCACCAGTGGATTGCTACTAGTGACTTGACACTAGTGACTTGACACTAGTGACTTGACACTAGTGACGAACTACTAGTGACTTGACACTAGTGACTAACTACTGGTGACTGACTACTGGTGACTAACTACTATTGACTTGACACTAGTGACTAACTACTATAGTGACTGAACACCAGTCACTAGCTACTAGTGACTAGTTACTAGTGATATTTTGAGGCAAATCAACTGTTCGTCTCCGTGTGCTGTAAATCAACGCGTCAACTGGCATCTTAATTGGCGGTTAATTGGGTGTGTAAGGTAACGCGTTAATTGGCAGTTAATTGGGTGTGTAAGGTCTGTCTCTTATACACATCTAGATGTGTATAAGAGACAGCCCCCAGGCTGCCTTTCCCTTTCGACGCGCTGGACCAGAAACATGTGTACACTAAATAAATATAAATAAGCGATAATAATATATAAAAATATAATAAATATAATATATAATATAATATTATATTATATATAGGTATATATTTATATATATAATAATATATAAATAATAAATATAAATAAGCGTTACATTGTACATTTTTTGACCTTGTGTGGGTTATTCTTACCAGGGCGTATCAGTGCTACGTTAGCTCGCTGCGGCTAGGAGTGTGTGTCAGTATTTAGACAATTTGACCTGCTCATTTGTCTTGGTATGACTTGATTTTACGCTAGCTAGGCGCGCTGCCGACGCAATGTTGACCTCGTGACCTCTGCAGGGTCAAGGTCAGTCCATTGACTGGGGTCTAGGGTGACTAGGATGACTAAGGTCTAGGGTGACTAGGCTCTAGGGTGTAGGGGGGAGATGGGGAATGAGTGGGGCGGAGGGATTGAGGGAAAGCTGTAGAAGTAAAAACATGGGTAAGTTAGGGTAAGTAAGGGTGGGTAAGGGTAAGTAAGGGTAATAATGAAATAATGAAATAAGGGTAACTAAGGGTAAGTAAGCGTAATTTAGGGTAATTAAGAGTAATTGAGGGTAATTAAGAGTAATTAAGGGTAATTAAGAGTAATTAAGGCTAATTAAGTGTAATTATGAAACAAGGGTAATTAAGGGTAACTAATGGTAAAAATGGTCGTTATACCTGAGGTAGGTAATGATGTTGGAACAGTGATGATGGCTATGGGAAGATATTAGTGATGATGGACGATGGCGCCTGGTGATGCTGGCGCGACGCTGGCCGCGTGACGAGTTTTTACGACGCGCCGACCTTGATATTTGGCGAGAGCTGTTGTTGTTGTTGCTGTTGTTGCTGTTGTTGCTGTTGTTGTTGCTGTTGTTGTTGCTGTTGTTGCTGTTGTTGTTGTTGTTGTTGTTGCTGTTGTTGTTGCTGTTGTTGTTGCTGTTGTTGTTGCTGTTGTTGCTGTTGTTGTTGCTGTTATTGTTGCTGTTATTGTTGCTGTTATTGTTGCTGTTNGTGACTAGGGTCTAGGGTGACTAGGGTCTAGGGTGACTAGGGTCTAAGGTGACTAGGGCGACTAGGGTCTTGGGTGACTAGGGTCTAAGGTGACTAGGGTCTAGGGTGATAAGGGTGTAGGGGGTGACTAGGATCTAGGGTGATTAGGGTCTAGGTAGGATGACTAGGGTCTTTGGTGACTAGGGTCTAGGGTCTAGGGTAATTAGGGTCTAGGGTGATTAGGGTCTAAGGTGACTAGGGTCTAGGGTGACCAGGGCCAAGGGTGACTAGGGTCTAGGGTGACTTGGGACTAGAGTGACTAGGGTCTAGGATAACTAGGGTCTAGGGTGACTAGGGTCAAGGGTGACTAGGGTCTACGTTGACTAGGATCTAGGGCGACTAGAGTCTTGAGTGACTAGAGTCTTGGGTGACTAGGGTCTAGGGTGAATAGAGTTTAGGGTGACTAGGGTCTAGGGTGACTAGGGTCTAGAGTGATTGGGGTCAAGGGTGAATAATGACTAGGATGACTAGGGTCTATTGTTATTAGGCTTTAGGGTGACTAGGGTCTAGGGTGATTAGGCTTTAGGGTGACTAGGGTCTTGGGTGACTAGGGTCTAGGTGAGTTGGGTCTATGGTGACTAGGGTCTATAGGGTCTAGAGTGACTAGGGTCAAGGGTGACTAGGGTCTAGGGTGACTAATGTCTAGGATGACTAGGGTCTATTGTTATTAGGCTTTAGGGTGACTAGGGTCTAGGGTGATTAGGCTTTAGGGTGACTAGGGTCTTGGGTGACTAGGGACTAGGTGAGTAGGGTCTAGGGTGACTAGGGTCTATAGGGTCTAGAGTGACTAGGGTATAGGGTGACTAGGGTCTAGGGTGACTAGAGTCTATGGTGACTAGGGTTTGGGGTGACTGGGGTCCCTGGTGACTAGGGTCTAGGGTGACCAGGGTCTAGGGTGATTAGGGTCTAGGATGACTAGGGTCTAGGGTGACTGAGGTCTAGGGTGACTAGGGTCTAGTGTGACTAGGGTCTATGGTGACTAGGGCCGAATATGGCCTAGTCTGACTAGGGCCTAGGGTGACTAGGGCCGAATAGGGCCTAGTGTGACTAGGGCCTTGGGTGACTAGGGCCTAGGGTGACTAGGGTCTATGGCATCTAATGCCCACAATTGAGGATCACTGTTCATGAGGCATCAAAGTCTCCCTTATATCTCCCTTATACTTGTCTCCTACCCTCATCGTTGCCAGTGCTGCTTCCTGTTGCCAGTGCTGCTCCATGTTGCCAGTGCTGCTCCGTGTTGCCAGTGCTGCTCCATGTTGCAAGTGCTGCTCCATGTTGCCAGTGCTGCTCCGTGTTGCCAGTGCGGCTCCATTTTGCCATGCCCTCGTTCCTCTCTCTGTACCCGATGACCCGCCATTAAACTAACTCCCCTTCCCTTGTTGCAGATCAACCGCGTGAGATGGAGGACGATAGTGATCCTCCTGGTGGGGACGTCGTTGGTGGGCGACTCCTTAGGGATGCCCCAAGCAACACTCGGAGGGCCCCCTAGCAAGCTCGCCCCCGCGGCCGCCGTGTCCTCAAGTCAGACGGGGCATCCGTCGAACCTGAATGTGGCACGGTTCCCCCCAAACTTTGGCGTCGAGATCGACAGCAGCGAAGCGGTTGAAGGACCAAGCGATGAAGTTTCTGGAAGATGGCAGCGAGGAGCCTACCAAGCAATGACCGGCTACACCCGCGGCATGAGCCTGGGCGCAGATTCTCACCAAACCAGCCTGGAGAGTGCCGAAGAGGTTGCGGTCCGGCAGCAAAACCAACAGGCCTCAGCCGGTGCAGGATACCCTGCAACCAGGCAGACAGGAGGGGAAAGTACCTCATCGAAGCAACAACATGGAAGTAGTTCCTCTTCAGTTTCATCTTCTACCTCTTCTGCTGGTAGAGCACTGTCTGCAGGGCGATCACTCGCTGCCACGAATACAAGGAATGTTCAGTATCCTCCAGCCCTTCCTGGAGCGAGATCTCCCAACAGGAATTTTCAGCGCAGCATCGAAGGTGCAAGCATTAAATCAACCCAACAGACCACCACTCGTGGCAATGACAACAGAAATCTCTACAATAACCATCGCCAAACTGCACAAAATACACAACAAAAGTTTTATACGGTGATCGACGTCGATGATGATGATGACAGCACCGAGAATCAAAATTCTAGATTCCAATCATTAGGCAGACGATATCATCCTGAAGGATCACCCAAGACAGCAGCGCCACTATTCATTCCTGCCCAAAAGTCGGCGCAACAACAAACAAGTGCGTCTCAAACTTCTACCTTCAACAACCCTCTTTTGTATGCTCTCACAGATTCATCGGAAGAGACAAATGACTTTATTATGCCTATTGTGAAAATGGAACACGCGAACACGAAGCAACAGAGAATTGCGCTCTCGGAAAGCGCGCTTAATGACCGATACAATTTCGTTGACAGTCAAGGCAGCGTTAACTGGGGTTATACTTTATCCGACCAATACCAAGAAGCGGTGGTGCATCGCGATGGCACCATCGAGGGTAAATACGGATGGACCGCCCCTAACGGGCTAAACATCAAAGTCGAGTACATCGCTGATAAAGGAGGGTACAGAATCCACAGTTCGCAAAACATCTATCCAAAGGATGACCCCGTAGTCGAATCAGTGAAGCAGCAACATCTATTGGAAGTTCAACGAGCAGCCAACAGAGGAATAGTCCAACCAATAGCCCCAACTGGATCCATTGGCGGAGTAGGAGTGCCTTTATCTCCAGCAGGCCCTGGAATTGGCGGATCAGGGACTGGTGGTTTCACAGTCGGACATCCAGGAGCTGGGGTTGGCTTTGGAACCCAGCCTGGAAGGCCCTTACCAGGGATTGATGCACCTTTCGGTGGAGTTGCTTTAGGAGCCGGAGCAGGAGCGCCGTTATCTCCAGCAGGCCCTGGAGCTGGTGGATCCGGGACTGGTGGTTTCACAGTCTTCATAGATGATGAGTTTACACAAGGTGTCGGACAGCCAGGAGCTGGGGTAGGGTTTGGAACCCAGCCTGGAAGGCCCTTGCCAGGGATTGATGCACCTTTCGGTGGAATGCCTTCACCAGGGTTAGACTCGACATCAGGCACATCATTTGGAACTACCGGACAAACCTCCGGAACTCCTCTGTTGCCTTCTGTAGACACTGACTTCAGAGCAGAGGCCGGATTTGGAGCACCAGCTGGCCAAGATTTTGGAGTTGGGTTACCTCCAGTAACAGGAGGTCAGGGCACAGCATTTGGAACTGATGCCGGATTTGGATTACCGGGTGGACAAGAACCATCTTTCGGAACAGGTACTGGATTGGGAGCTCCAGCCGGACAGGACTTTGGAGTTGGTTTGCCTCCAGTAACAGGTGATCAGAGCACAGCATTTGGAACTGATACTGGATTTGGAGCACCAGGTGGACAAGAAACATCTTTCGGAACAGGTACTGGATTGGGAGCTCCAGCCGGACAGGACTTTGGAGTTGGTTTACCTCCAGCAACAGGTCAGGGCATGCCATTTGGAACTGATACTGGATTTGGTGCACCAGGTGGACAAGTAACATCTTTCGGAACAGGTACTGGATTGGGAACTCCAGCCGGACAGGACTTTGGAGTTGGTTTACCTCCAGCAACAGGAGGTCAGGGCATGCCATTTGGAACTGATCCTGGATTTGGAGCTTCAGCAGGACAAGACACCACATTTGGAGCAGGAACAGGTTTTGGAACACCGTCTGGACAGGGCTTTGGGGTTGGCTTACCGCCGGCAACTTCATCAGTATTGGGAATTGATTCGGGACTCGAATCTTCACCAGGTACTGGAAGCGGATCAGGAAGTAGTTTCGGTACTAGCATCGGCACTGGATCAACAGATGCAGGCTTTGGCGCTGGGTCAATCGACACTGGCTTCGGCACCGGTTCAACAGATACAGGCTTTGGCACTGGTTCAACAGATGCAGGCTTTGGCACTGGTTCAACCGACACTGGATTCGGCACCAGTTCAATAGATACTGGATTTGGTAGTAGCGGCTTTGGTACTGGTTCAACCGACACCAGTTTCGGCTCTGGCTTCACCGACACTAGTTTTGGATCTGGCTCAACTGATACGGGACTAGGTGGCAGTGGTTTTGGAACTGGATCAACAGATACTGGTTCTGGTACTAGCTCAACTGATACAGGATTTGGTGGTAGCGGCTTTGGAACTAGTTCAACCGATACTGGTTTTGGAACTGGCTCAACTGATACGGGATTCGGTGGTAGCAGCTTCGGCACTGATTCAACGGACACTGGATTCGGCACCAGTTCAACAGATACTGGATTTGGTGGCAGCAGCTTCGGCACTGGTTCCACGGACACTGGTTTCGGAGCCAGTTCAACGGATACTGGATTTGGCGGCAGCAGCTTCGGCACTGGTTCAACGGACACTGGTTTCGGAGCCAGTTCAACAGATACTGGATTTGGTGGCAGCAGCTTCGGCACTGGTTCCACGGACATGGTTTCGGAGCCAGTTCAACGGATACTGGATTTGGCGGCAGCAGCTTCGGCACTGGTTCAACGGACACTGGTTTCGGAGCCAGTTCAACGGATACTGGATTTGGCGGCAGCAGCTTCGGCACTGATTCAACGGACACTGAATTCGGAACCAGTTCAACAGATACTGGATTCGGCAGCGGCAGCTTCGGCACTGATTCAACGGACACTGGATTCGGCACCAGTTCGACAGATACTGGATTCGGCACCAGTTCAACAGATGCTGGATTTGGCGGCGGCAGCTTCGGCACTGGTTCAACGGACACTGGTTTCGGAACCAGTTCAACGGATACTGGATTTGGAGGTAGCAGCTTCGGCACTGGTTCAACGGACACTGGATTCGGCTCCAGTTCAACAGATACTGGATTTGGCGGTGGCAGCTTCGGCACTGGTTCAACGGACACTGGTTTCGGAACCAGTTCAACGGATACAGGATTTGGAGGTAGCAGCTTCGGCACCAGTTCAACAGACGCTGGATTCGGCACCAGTTCAACAGATACTGGATTTGGCAGCAGCAGCTTCGGCACTGGTTCAACGGACACTGGTTCCGGAACCGGTTCAACGGATACTGGATTTGGTGGCAGCAGCTTCGGCACTGGTTCTACGGACACTGGATTCGGCTCCAGTTCAACAGATACTGGATTTGGAGGCAGCAGCTTCGGCACTGGTTCAACGGACACTGGTTTCGGAACCAGTTCGACGGACACCGGATTTGGCGACAGCAGCTTCGGCACTGGTTCTACGGACACTGGATTCGGCTCCAGTTCAACAGATACTGGATTTGGAGGCAGCAGCTTCGGCACTGGTTCAGCGGGCACTGGATTCGGAAGCAGTTCAACGGATACTGGTTTTGGAGGTAGCAGCTTCGGCACTGATTCTACTGACACTGGATTCGGCAGTAGTTCAACAGATACTGGATTTGGAGGCAGCAGCTCCGGCACTGGTTCTACGGACACTGGATTTGGCACCAGTTCAACAGATACAGGATTTGGAGGCAGCAGCTTCGGCACTGGTTCAACTGATACTGGTTTCGGAACAAGTTCGACGGATACCGGATTTGGCGACAGCAGCTTCGGCACTGGTTCTACGGACCCTGGATTTGGCACCAGTTCAACGGATACTGGATTTAGTGGCAGCAGCTTCGGCACTGGTTCAACAGACACTGGATCCGAAACTAGTTCAACAGATACTGGATTTGGCGGCAGCAGCTTCGGCACTAGTTCCACGGACACTGGTTTCGGAACAAGTTCAACGGATACTGGATTTGGCGGCGGCAGCTTCGGCACTGATTCAAGGGACACTGGATTCGGAACCAGTTCAACAGATACTGGATTTGGCAGCAGCAACTTCGGCACTGGTGCAACTGACACTGGATTTGGCGATAGCAGCTTCGGCTCTGGTTCAACTGATCCTGGATTCGGTACTGGGTCTGCTGCTTCTGGTTTTGGCGATAGCAGCTTCGGCTCAGGTTCAACCGATACCGGATTCGGTACAGGGTCTACATCCTCTGGATTCGGTGATAGTAGTTTCGGCTCCGGTTCAACTGGTAGTGGATCTGGAGACAGCACATTCAATGCCCAGTTCAACGATACAGGATTTGATACCAGTTTTACAAATACTGGGTTTGACGATTTCGGTTTAGGCACTGGGTCTGGTGATACAGCATTCGGCACTGACACAGGTCTGAGCGGAGGTGTCAGCCTCAACACTAACACAGGAAGTTTAGATACCAACTTTGGAGGTTTCAATGAGGCCCCGGCATCGTCTGGCCCTAGTGATTCCTTTCGGAGCACATCGGCTAACACAGGAGGATTTGGTGGAAACGCTGGCGCCGGGGTTGGCGTTGCTTTGCCTAGCTTTGATGGGACTAATACGGCTACGAACGACTTTTTCTCCACAAGCGCCGGATCAAGAGACAATTTCTTCAACGGGAACGGAGGCGTCGGGGACTCTTTCTTCAACGGGAACACCGTAACAAATGGTAACAACCTTCTAACGGGGCCCCCTGTTCCATTCAGCGATCTTAGCGCTTCTACCAACGACAAGAAGCCGTTTTTTGAGTTAGGCCCATCCGGGACTGAAATAACAGCTTCCTCGGGTGGGCCTCCCTCCCCCAAACCTCAATTTTCCGGCAATTTTGACCTTTCAACTCAAACCGCAACACCACAAGCTGGCGTCGGAACTTCTTCGATTCAGACCGTTCCTGAAATTTGCCTCCTTGCTAGTAAGACCGATCCAGAATTGCTACCTTCCGAGTGTAGAACTGCAATCACTTCCGCGCCATCTGACTTAAGCTTTGGAACTGATACTGGCTTCAAAACTGATACTGGATTCGAAACTGGAGCTGGTACTGTATTCGAAACTGAAACTGACACTGGATTCGGAATTGAAACTGACATTGGATCTGGAACTGGAACTGACACTGGATTTGAAATTGAAACTGACACTGGATCTGGAACTGAAACTGTGTTCGGAACTGATACTGGCCTCGAAACAGGGACTGGTCCTGTTTTCGTATCAAATACAGGATTTGGAGGAGAGAGTGAAGTAACAAACATCCCCGAAGAGTGTCGTTTCATTGGCAAGCTGCACCCGACGCTCGTGTCGCGCGAGTGCCAACCTTACCTTCCGACAAGTCAGCTCACGGGGACACAACATGCAACTAACCGCGAAAATGTAGACCTTGGAGGCACGAATACCAACGTGAACTTCGACGGATCTGATTCAGGTTTCCAAGCCACTGATTCAGGATTTGTTGGCTTTGATGGGGCTGATGCTGGCCCTGGTGGCTTCGATGCTGGCTTGGCCGGTCTCGATACTGGCTTTGGTGATACCGAGACATTATTTGGAAGCAGCGATGCTGGTGTTGGCGGTACAAATTTAGGCATTGCAGAATCTGATACAGACTTTACAGGCACAGGTTCCAGCTTTGGATTCAATGATACAAGCTTTGGTGACACCGCTTTAGGCTTTGATGGCTTTGATCCAGGTTTTGGTGGCAACGACACAGGCTTTAGTGGAGCGCATGATAGTTTCAATGATTTCAGTGCAGTGCCAAACACAGAAGGTTCAGGATTCGGATTCGGTACAGGTTTTGACGATTCAAACAGATTAGGCACGAATCTCTTAAAATCAGCGAAACATCTGCAAGGAAGCCGCATCCCTGTAAGCCCCATTCCCGTGAGGCTAGATGGAACGCAGAAGGTCCCCAGCCTGCCCCTTCCTAGCGAATTTAAAGGAACCGCCAGTTTACCAAACAGGCTAAACGGCCTCAATGCCTTCACTTCAAGAACCCCTGTTCGTCCGAACCCCGTGCAAGTAGTTCAGATGAATGACTTCGAGAAACAATCAGCAGGAGAACAAAGCAGATCATCACTACAAGCCACAACATCGGTAGCGGAGAATACATTTGAACCAGATCAGTTTCCGGAAAACCAGTCGCCACCATCGTCACTGGTCGCACAGGAAAACCAGGGCCTTCAAGAAGATGCTTCTTCATCTGCAAAGAAAACTGATGAAGAGCGCAACATGAGACAGCTGAAGCTGCAGGAGCGCAACGACCGCCAGCAGAAAAGACTCAAGCAATACCAGCAGTTCCTGAGGCTCGAGAGGGCAATGCAACTTAATAAGAGTCTTTCCAACAGCGAGGTGAGTAAAGGGTGTCAGCATAATTCTGTGTCCGACCGAGGTGAGTGAAGGTGTCAAAACGGGTTGGCCCTTCACCGATGTGGGTGGCGATATCAACATGAGTCTGAGCCTGACCGATGTGAGTGTAAAGAGTCTGCACTCTGCTGAGTTAAGTGGAGTTGTTTTCATTGTACAAATGTCAGTGCCAGACCGAAGACTATTTGCTTCACCACCAGTTTAATGAGTTGTTCTCAACCTCAAAATATTTCTGTATGGAAGTCGTTTAGTTTTTGAGATGTTCATGTGTTCTCTCCTGTTTTCTTAAATGTCATTTCTGTAATCACTGTAAGTCTGTAAGCAATGTATAGATACGTCTTTTCTAATTCATATATCTATTTCTTAGGTTACCGCACCTGCAACAGGCAGCGTTTCCCCAGGACATGCCCACCTGCAGCAGCAGTTAGCTAGACTCAAGGCCCAGAAAGAAGGAGTGGACCCTGAAGAAGTCCCTCCCCCCTCTCCGAACGCCAAAAGGCTAAGCGACACCATGGAAAAATTAGCCAAGTCATCCATACAGTCCAGGGGAGCCATCCTTAGTGTCCTTAAGGCTTAATGTGCCCTTATTAGCCTTAAACCTTAGATCCGACTTAGGTAGATTTGATTTAGGATGCGTTAAGTCTGTGCCATTCCAGTCAAAAAATTATCACGCTGGATAAACGTTATTATTGGCTAATTATTTCAAATGACGAAAAAAATTTTTACTTATAGAATTCCCCCCTGAATTAATTGAAAAATTATGTTAATATAATTTCCAAAATTGTATTCTTTAGCTAATGTTCAAAAAAACCTTTTCATTATCTGAATGCTGATTGGCTGTTGGGTTTTATTACTTGAACACTGATTGGCTGTTGATTATATAACTTGAATGCTAATTGGTTGTTTATCATCGTTGATGTTGAATAGAGATAAGAATGTGATATGCGTGTTGATAGAGGGTGAGTTGTGTGTTCGTAGGAGATTAAGACGAGACATGCTAGTTGCGTAGTTAAGCTAGCCACCAGTGGATTGCTACTAGTGACTTGACACTAGTGACTTGACACTAGTGACTTGACACTAGTGACGAACTACTAGTGACTTGACACTAGTGACTAACTACTGGTGACTGACTACTGGTGACTAACTACTATTGACTTGACACTAGTGACTAACTACTATAGTGACTGAACACCAGTCACTAGCTACTAGTGACTAGTTACTAGTGATATTTTGAGGCAAATCAACTGTTCGTCTCCGTGTGCTGTAAATCAACGCGTCAACTGGCATCTTAATTGGCGGTTAATTGGGTGTGTAAGGTAACGCGTTAATTGGCAGTTAATTGGGTGTGTAAGGTAACGAGTTAATTGGCAGTTAATTGGATGTGTAAGGTAACGAGTTAATTGGCAGTTAATTGGATGTGTAAAATTATTAAAAAAATAATCTGTGCCGAAATCAGAGAAATAAACCTGCAGCGATTGCAGTTTCTCCATGACGGCCACGTTTGAAGCCCAGGTTTCACTCAAACAAAGGAATGAGTCAAATTGTCTAATTAGTGACACACTTTCACACCCCCAGCACCCGCATAAATCGGGCGTAGCACTGATACGCCATTTAGATCCGCGTAGTATTACTGTACATGAACGTAGTCGTCAATTAAAGACAATATATTATTTTGCTTCGTACAATTAAGGTGCCAAAACATTCCTCCGTGATCCTGTAATCTTATTTTCAAATTCTCTTAACAAAAATATCAAAATATTGATTTAAATTAAAACTTTAAATCAACTTTGAATCAATATATTGGTTTAAATTAGGTTTTCTTCTATTCGATACCGAGCTTCATTTTCTGTTAATCCTATTAGATTATTAGCTGCCACTGTACATCGGTCCTCCTATAAAAAGCTATTTCTATTCCCTAGTTCAATAATTAAATGACATTTCTCTAAATTAGTCTCCCAAGCAAAATTATATCGGTTTTCATTGATTTTTAATGGTTTTCATTGAATATTTAAAGGGTTTTATTGAATATGTAATGGGTTTTATTAAATAATAATTGTTTTCATTGAATATTTAATGGTTTTTATTGAATATAGAATTGGTTTTATTGATTATTTAATGGGTTTTATTGATTATTCCCTGGATTAGATATGTACTCAGGCATGTATAATAGTTTCATGAATTAAATGCTTATCCTTCATTATGTATAATAACCTGAATCATTACATACTTTCCATTAAAAATTGGCAGAGAACATTTCTTTTTTAACCTTAGTCCCCCGAATAAATAAATAAATAATGAAAGTAATGAATATGTATTAATAAAATTTTCCTAAGCATATTTTATACGAGTCTCCCAATTGCATGCTGAACTTCTTTTATATATTAGCCTCCCAGCTGAATTTTAAACTCGTTTTTATATTTTAGTTGCCCATTGAAGACTATAAGTCGCCTTAAAATATATTTTTTTAGTTGCCCATTGAAGACTATAAGTCGCCTTAAAATATATTTTTTTAGTTGCCCATTGAAAACTATTAGTCACCATAAAATATATTTTAGTCGCCCATTGAAGAGTAAAAATTGCCTTAATATACATTTTAGTCGCCCATTGAAGACCATAAGTCGCCTTAAAATATATTTTTTTAGTCGCCCATTGAAAACTATTAATCACCATAAAATATATTTTAGTCGCCCATTGAAGAATATAAGTCGCCATAAAATATATTTTAGTTGCCCATTGAAGACTATAAGTCACCATAAAATATATTTTAGTCGCCCATTGAAGACTATAAGTCACCATAAAATATATTTTAGTCGCCCATTGAAGAATATAAGTCACCATAAAATATATTTTAGTCGCCCATTGAAGAATATAAGTCGCCATAAAATAAATTTTAGTTTTTTAGGACGCAGTACTGATACGATGCTCTTTTCCGGGCCAAACTGGGTCAGGATAACAGACACAGTTGTAAAAAGTGCGTCGCTTTTTAGACAAAGTCGCACTCATAGCTTTCAGTGCGCGTTCCTCAAGCGAGCAGCCGCCAAGGTAAAATAAATACACATATATGCATGCTATATATATGCGTAGTACATTATACGGTATATTGCCTTGCATTTATATATGTAGGCCTCTTGCTTAAATCAATATATGGGTAAATGAATGGTAAGTAAGTATAGGCGTGGTATATATTGGATGTACGAGTATCATGCATCATGTACGAGTATCATGTATCATGTACGAGTATCATGTATCATGTACGAGTATCATGCATCATGCACGAGTATCATGTATCATGTACGAGTATCATGTGTCATGCACGAGTATCATGTGTCATGTACGAGTATCATGAATCATGTACGAGTATCATGTGTCATGTACGAGTATCATGTATCATGTACGCGTATCATGAATCATGCACGAGTATCATGTATCATGTACTAGTTTCATGTATCATGTACGAGTATCATGTATCATGTACGAGTATCATGTATCATGTACGAGTGTCATGTATCATGTACGAGTATCATGCATCATGTACGAGTGTCATGTATCATGTACGAGTGTCATGTATCATGTACGAATATCATGCATCATGTTCAAGTGTCATGTATCATGTATGAGTATCATGCATCATGTACAGGTATCATGTCTCATGTACGAGTGTCATGTATCATGTATCAAGAATGAATATCATGTACAATTATTATGTATCATGTAGGTATGAGTATCATGTACAAGTAGGGTAAACGCTGTATATTCCGTCGCATTAAGGACGCATCGAGAAATGAAAAACTATAAAAAAATAACTGTATGCATTACTCGAGTTCTGTTTGCTTTATGTGACTCGCAAAACACCGTACTACACGCCACTGACGCCAGCAACGATGAAACGTCACAAAATGTTGCCATATTTATTTAAAAGCCTTTAGAATGCAAACCTACCAAATCCCTATATTCCGACATTGTGCGTGGCAATATTTGGCACGTGGTGAGGCGTATTCCGTCCGCGCTTCTAATTCTACTGATACGTAATGCCGACATCCACGTGTTCGAATTCCGTTTGCTGTGTGAGCTGTATTGGAATACAACATGGCTTTGAATTAGAACACTAATGACTATTGAACACTACTTAATTACGCTTTTAATTAACAACTATTAAGCTTTTAATTAAGCAAATTTTAATTTTTGTACATAGCTTGAAACGATCTGTGTGTGTCCAATTATAGTTGTGACAGAATTAGTTTTCATGTGTCTAAATCCATTTCTCAACTTAATCATCTATTAATTTATTTACCACTTGAAATCAGCGAATACAAGCATACTTAAAGGATTCCTAATATATTCACAGACGTATTTAAAAGTCTCAAACCATAATATTATTCCTATACAAACAGTTATTCACTATTTGGTAGAGCAAGGTCAACTGTCAAATTTGACACATTTTTCGATGATCTCACTGGGTAGTGGGTAGCGTGCATTGTCTCTCTTTGGATCTCAATATTTTCCCACTAGATGGCCAAGACCTAGTGTTTTGGCATTAGTTCGACACGCAAATGTATGACGTCACCATTTCAACCATGAACGAATGCATGGAACTAAAACAAAGCTTAATATAAAGGAAAAACTAGAGAGGTGACGGAATTACCCACGATATCGGAAAATACCGCGTTTACCCTATTATGTATCTGTTGTATCATGTATCATGTACGAGTACAACATGGCAAGGCAACATGGCAAGTCAACGTGGCAAGTCTACATGGGAAGGCAACATGGCAAGTCAACATGGCAATCAACTTGGCACATCAACATGGCAAGGCAATGGGGCAAGGCAATGGGGCAAGCCAACATGGCAAGTTAACATGGCAATTCAACATGGCAACTGTCAATTTGGCATGTCAACATGTCAAGTCTACATAGTAGGCTACATGGGATTATGGGAAGGCAACATGGGCCATGGCACATCAACATGGGAAGGCAATATGTCAAGTCAACATGACCAGTCAACATGGCAAGTAGGTATACGTTCATGGGAAGGCAACATGGCACGTCATTGACATCAATATGGCAAGGCAATGGGGCAAGTCAACATGGGAAGGCAACATGGCAAGTCAACATAGTAAGTCAACATGGCACATAAACATGGGAAGGCAACATGGCTGTCATGGCACATCAACATATGAAGGCAATGGGGCAAGTCAACATGGCACATCAACATGGCAAGTCAAAATAATTTTCCAAGCAGGTTAGCCTCGGGCGATATTAATCCCGTTGATAAGAATAAATACCGGTATACCTTATGTGTGCCAACTCAAGAAAGAGCCATTAAAAACCGTATTCTATTAGGAAAAAAGAACTCCCATTTGACTCTTGTTCCGGAATTTGAGAAAAACGATTTGGGTCTTCAATCAATAATTTATAATTACTAATTTGAATATAATTTCTATTTTTGATCCATACCTTTCCTTCAGTCCTTTGGCTGACCCTTTCTCCTGCTAAGAATTAATTTTTAGCTCCTGATAAGTATATATGCTTCACCTGCGACTAGAAATTTGGCTAGCATATTAAAGTAAACAAACTAAATAATAGTTAATAAATCTTTAATCGAATTCCAATTCAGTAGAGAAGAACCGAACATCTGTGTGGCTTTGAAATACCAACTGCAATGCGCTCGTATTAATTAACATGGCGCACGAAACAGCTTAGTTTACGCAGCTAAAGTTTTCTATTTGATAAGAAAATGTTGATGAGAGAAAATGTTCAATGACAATGGACTAACTGTATCATTATGATACATTGGGTGGAGTACTTAGTTCATGTAGAGGAGTCAACAAGGTGGTTGGTATATATAATTAAAATGGCATTTTGGCTTAAAGATTCTTTATAAATACTCAATTATTACGGTCACTGCGTCACTTGAGTTTACGGTTTCAAATTCAAAGCTATCGAATATATCTCTAAAAATGCGATAATAATAAATATGATATAATAATTTATATAATTCGCTATAATATATAACCCGCTATCATTAGGCGGATTTTTTTATAGATATACATATTATGTATATTATTATTAATAATGTATATTATTCGCTTATTTTCATCGCTCGGCTTCTCTTAGTTTTGACTGGATACTAATTATTCAATAGTAAATAATACATATTCGCCAAGTTTACTCTCCACGGCGTATTATTATATTAACTTAAATTTAGGTATTTCCCGTTTTTGACTGTTATTTCAAGAATGCAAGACATTATTACCGTTTCTGGCGTTTCATCACATCTATTCCCTCAGTTTCACAGAGTTTATTCACTTATCAATTTCAATATGTGACACTACAGCAGGTAACACTTTATACACTCAATTGGATGGATTAAAACTTTTATAAATTAAAACTGAATTTAGTTGGACCTGATCACTTGTAACGTTAACGGTGAGACATGAAATTGTTCCGTTATCGTTGATTGCCATTGCAAGTTCCTTTCTTCAAAACGAAAAAGAGACGTTTATTAATTATAATTACTAAATCGCCCCAGCCAGAGTCTCCGTGTAATTAATTAATTACTTAATTAAGGGCAAAGTTAAGGACCAATTGACTCTGGAGAAGGAGCCAGCAACAGCGCGCAGTAAACGAGGTGGACCCAACACGCCATAGCGGCACAAGTCTTGTAAATTCTTCATCTATCTACTACTATTCTGAAGTTTATCAATCTTGATATGTAATACGTATTGATAATATATCATTGTATTTTTATATTAAAGTATTGTCTCTTATTTAGCAGCGTGGGTTAACATTGACCGATCATATTACAATTTCTCGGTTGTTTTTAGTTAACTAATTTTGGTGCTATTCGTTAACGATTAACCTGTTTGGCTACGTTTTTGTCTAACACTTGTGGGATTTCCCTGTCGATTGGATTGCAGAGATCCACCGTGTAGGATCGAGTCGGCTGGAACTCGCAGCAAAACTTCACCAAAGCGTCGTGGTCGCCATACGTTCCTTGTATCTTTTGTTATATTAAGTCGGAATTTAGCATGAAAATATTCACAAATTAGCAGAAATTCGTAGTATTCTTAAGTTCACCCTTCTTTTTGTATAGCAACAATTCGCAAAAAATATTTCGAGCACGACTTGAATAAACTATTCTCCGTATTCTTTATTTTAACTATTCATGTATACTAAAAATTCTATGTATTATCTATTATAAAGATGAATTATTTTCATCATGTACAATAATCCAGTCACTACCTACATCATTAAGTTGGACTCGCTGAGGAGAAACTTGAGACAAATGATGTAGTAAATTTAATTAGTGATAAATGTACAGCCACTTTATCACGTCACATCAACGTATGTACAAATTACATCAGGAAACGGCACCACGAGCACAAAAAAAAAACGTTTTTTTTTTCTAAAAAAACAGGTATGCTCTCGGTAGACCCCGGTTCACTAATACCACAACCGGTAGAGCACTTTTCACTAAAAAAAAAACATTAATTGTTTTAACAAACTTTCTCGGTAACGCTTAACGTTTTTTTTTCGAAAACTGAAAAACGTTCCGAGAAAGTATTCTATTTTTCAACAACTGCACTGTTAGAAAAATCGCAGTTAAACGGTCTCTCCAGCGTTTTAGTGGCCAGCCAAGACGTGGAAAGAAACACCGTATGGCCGTTTTCATTCAAATCTAACACTAGAAACTCGTACAACATTTGAAAAAAACGGATAATTAAAAATACGCGGATAAAAACGCGTATTAAATTAAATTAAAAAACGGATGAAAACGGAAACACGGTTTATTTTCACGTGGCGGCCGGCCACTAGAACACTGGTGAGACCGTTTTTAACAGTTTTTTCGAACAGTGTGGAATAAATAACTCAACTTGATAAATTACTCAACTTGATAATTTATCGATTAATTTCCCCAGGTTAGCCTCGCCCTGCGCATCCTGCAGGTTCTCCACAGCGACGGCCAGGACGCGCGTCACGTCCATGGCCTGCGCGTACACCGCCTGCAGGAACCCCAGCCGCTCAACCGCACCAGTGGCCGCCCGGCCGTCGCGCGGGGAGGTGCTGCTCGCGCGCGCTCCGTCCTTGACGTACATCATTAGCAGGCGTTTGCTGATGTAGTCGCCGATTATTGATATTCGTCCTACCTCAATATAAGTCATTTTATTTTCCCCAATGTAGACAGTGTTCCTGCCTTCAGGGTAGGAGGTGCTTAGCATCTGCACCACAAGGGCATCGCGCTCATACACGCGGAGGTCCCGCGGCTCAGGACGAACTATACGGAAATGTAGGCCTAACTTCTGGTAGGCCTGCACTACAACACCCAGAACCTCGTCCTTTACGAGGTCTTTGAACTTGGACTCATTCGTGTACATTGTCAGTAGCGACACGCTGGTGCTCTGCATGGACGACATTACCCCTCTCATCTGGGGGGCGTAAAGCCCCTCGTGGGGGGCGTGGAGCCCTCTGTCTGGAGGGCACAGGTCGCGTAAGGGCGTATAAGTCCTCTGACAAGCGTAAAGTTTCTGTGGCAGGAATTTACTGGTTTTCTTAACCGCCCTCCTAGCGAAGTACCCCAGATACGCGGGCAGGGAGGCGCCCCCCACCAGGTACACGGGGGTTTTATCCTCCTCCTTGAGTTGGGTCTTGAGGCTACTCGCCCCGCCACAACCCTCAACCAAAACCTCCTTGGCGAAGTCTGGGTTGCACTGTCGCAGGTACCCAGCGGCGTCCAGCAGCCCAGTCCAGTACCGGTCTAGCAAGACCTCGCACTCCGCTAAGTCCCCAGACAGGTAGAAAGCTCCTGGACTCACGTCCAGAAACTCTAACGAGTTGGGGGACTGGGTGCGCAGGAGGGTGTGGGGTTTGGGGGAGAAGTCAAAGATTGGGGGATCGTTCAGGGACACGACGACTCCCCCATCCCCAGGGGGGAGGTTTACAGTGTTGGGTAAATCCAACATGGCGGGGATGGCGGTAACTTCCAACTCGTTGAGTCTCGCCTTAAGTATCTTTGTTTTAGACCGCAACTGTGATATCCTAACTTTAACTTCATCATCTTTTACATCTTCTTTGCCTTTCATTTCATTTGATGTTACCGTCAATTCATCCGCTTGTTTCTCCAGTTCCTCAATCGCATGTTTCAGCTCCTTGAACTCCTGCCAAGAATCCTTCAGCTCCTGGAGTCCTTCGAGTCCCCCGAACTCCTCTGACACCTGTCGCAGTTGCAGCTCCTGCAGCAGGTCCTCAGGGGCCGCAAGTCGAGCGTCCATGTCCAAAAAAGGCGTGACGGGGGCGAAGAAGATGCGAGCCATGTGTCCCGCCACGTACAAGTGGGACAAGCGATGTCTGAAACTCATGGGTTTAGCCATATCTTTTCGTTCTTCAGTTATTTGTGTGCTGGATTGCTGTTCGTTAATGTCCATTCGAATATCAGGTTTTTGTGGTATTGTTTTCACTGACTCCTTTCCCTGAACGGACGCCATCTTGTTTCCAGCGCTCGATTCCGACGCCATCTTGTTTCCAGCGCTCGATTCGGACGCCATCTTGTTTCCAGCGCACGATTCCGCCTCCATCTTGTTTCCGGCGCTCGAGTCCGACGCCATCTTGTTTCCAACGTTCGATACTGACGCCATCTTGTTTCCAGCGCTCGAGTCCGACGCCATCTTGAATCCTTCGGTCTCGGCGGTCACGTCAGTTTCCTCGTCGGTCACTCCAGGCGAACTCACTCCACTCAACCCCGGGTGGGTTGTAAACAACCCGCGGCAATGGGGGCGAAGTTGCATTATTGTTTTTTTACAGAAAACTTTGGTTGAAAAAAGACGCCGTAAATCACTCGAATATTCAACATAATTCGAGATCACGGAAGGGGGGCCCTCCGCGGGGGCGCAAAAACCTAGGGGCCCCCCGCGGGGGTGCAGCCTGCCCACGGCGGGGGGGTGCAGGAGGCGTATACAGGATGCCGAGGTGCCCCGCAGGAGGCCTGCGACCCTGACGTCTGCGGCGGCGTTTAGCAGGAGCATCACGAGGTGGTGGTGGTGGTGGTGGTGGTGGTGGGTGGTGGTGGTGGTGGTGCGGAGGATAGACATGACGCTCATAGCGCCCTCCTACACGAAGGTGGGTGGTGGTGAGTGACGCAGCTTCGGTTTCTTGGCAGAATTCGTTTTCATAAAAAAACTCGTGTTAATGCAACAATGATAGTGTCACTGCTGCATGTTTGTTTTGACACATCAGCCATTCTCTGGACACAATAACCATTGTGCTGGCACACAATCAATGTGTTTGCACAACAATNAGTGAACGTAAGTACTTACGCTCTATTTTCTTGTCTATGATTGGTGGATTTTGCTTGAAAGGCCGTCAATGATTGGCTGATGAACTTACGATCTCTTAACTTTTTCTGAGAGGCCCAGTATAGATACTGTAGCTGTAAACTCGTGTTTGCTCTGCTCGAATGAAGATTTGATGGAAAACGTGCTTTTAGCGAACAGTGTAGAGTTATCTTTGCCCAATGCTGGTGCGAGTGACAGTGGATGCACTGACGTGGCGGGTGAAGTGAATGACTGAGGCAATGAGCCGGACGCACGTGATTTATTTGTCAAAGCTTGTGGTGATGAACCCGTTTCTAAACGTATGCACGATGGTGATATTGTCAAGGAATTCCATGAATTAACACGTTGATTACGATTGCTTCATCTTGTACTATTATTTCATTTTTTGTACTTTTTTAAGCAGGGTTGCCAGACGATCATTTTTTCCGGACAAATTCCGTGGTTGTTTTTCTCAATTGCGTTGGCCGGCTAAAATTTATGATAGAGGTACTTCCTAATTAAATTTTATATACTGCAAAAAGAAAATAAATGGAATTTTCATAGCGGAACCTACAAATAAACTAGTATACATTGAATTATCGGCCTTTTTTGTTCTCTGAATTGGCCGATTTTGGGCAACCTGAATAATGTACCACTACGTCCTGGAGAAATACATTTCGTGGTACGCATATGTACCAATACGTAGTCAACGTGTTAAGGGCCAAGTGTCATTTCTACGTCACGTTACAAGACCACGACGCGGATGTTTCTCCCGAACAACCGAACTAATCCAGTTGCGAATTAAAGAAGTGCACTGGACTGGAGTTTTGAGCAGGAGGTACTGGAAATGATTGATGAGAAAAAGACTCGAAATAAAAAGCTCGAATAAATATATATCAAAAGCTACGGGGTATATACCTGTTCCTGAGGGCCACGCCCTGAGGGATCCCTGCCACACACCTGCTCCTGAGGGCCACGCCCTGAGGGATCCCTGCCACGCACCTGTTCCTGAGGGCCACGCCCTGAGGGATCCCTGCCACGCACCTGTTCCTGAGGGCCACGCCCTGAGGGATCCCTGCCACGCACCTGCTCCTGAGGGCCACGCCCTGAGGGATCCCTGCCACGCACC